GCGCTCCGGCAGCGCCCCCTGCCGGCCGGGCCACCGACCTCAGCCGGCTGTGTGTTTGGAGCCGGTGGCCGGTGTGTTGTTCCTGGCGGTAGTTCAGGCGGCAGACGGTGGAGCACGCCGCGCACGTGCCACCACCCGGGCGGCCGCCAGCGATCCCCACCCACTCGGCGGGTGACGCCTCACAAACATCGCCGCTCAGTGGGCGCGCAGAACCGAGACGTCCCTTTTGGGGCCGCTGGCAATTCGCATCCCGCTTGATCTGAGGAAGCAGTGATGGTTGCACTGTTGTAGTTCCGTATAAGATTCAGTCACGAGTCGCTATCTCACAAATGTCCCTATTTCTATTGTAATCGACATCCACGCCTGAGTCATTCCTCCGACGGCGTTGCTGCAGGCGCTGTCTTGCAGTGTCTTTCTCACAGTCTGTTCAGCTGACCCCACTGGTTGCCGGACAGCCTGCTGGTCCTTGAGGGGCAGAGGGGAAACATTTGTGTTCAGAAACCTCCCAGCGGCGCTATTGTCATGCAGCAGTGTTCCTAAGCGCACGAACGGCCCATGCGATTGATCATGCATGAATCCTGGCTAACGAGAACGATTTGATATGCGCCGTATCATGTAGAATTCATCATCTCGAGCGCATTATTCAGCCGATTCCAGCAGCGAGCAGACCATTGGAGGTCATCGTTACGCTGCTCGGGCCATGTGGCGATTGTACGGAAGTCAAACATTGTGTTGGAGATCATTGAGGAGTGAAGGAAGAAAGGAGGAGAGAAAGAGAAGGGAGGGAGGGAGGTATATAGAGGAGGAGAATGAGAAGAAGAGGGAGGAAGACAGACGGGCTGGGTTTGAGATTGCGCTGTGGCCAGCGTCCGCTTGCCCTTCTCCTCTCGGTACCGGTTGACATTGCTGTATTGATCTGTAACCTCTCGGCCTGCCTCCGTCCCGTCCGGGCGGCGGCGGCGGCGGCGGCGGTGGCGGGGGCGGCTCTCGGTCGCATCCAGCCGTCATCAGTATTGATCGGAGAGTTACATCAGCAGGAAGGAGCGGTCGGCACCGGGCCAGAACTGGCGATCGCCGAGGTTTTGTGACCTAACGCTGCGGCTTCCCCAGCTCCGCCGCCGCTCCCCGGTCCCGAGACTCCGTCCCTCCGCCGTTCCCCGGCACCGATACTCCGTGCTGCCGCCGAGCGCTGCCCGCTTTCTGAGTCAGTACTAATCACTGCTCTGCCCCAGGATGGGAGGTTTTGCCGACGCCCGGCCACGAATGCGCCACTTGCATTGAACCTCTCTGAGTCAGCAGCGGACGCCGACTGCACTGCAGCGATAGGCTGTGGGTGGAGGCCATTGTTTTGTACGATGTGGTTGGAGGCCAGTATTTTGTGTGAACTTGCCAAGAGTTGCGGCTTTATTCCTCAACAAATGGCCTTCAGAGTATAGTGCATTACGTCACGCCTTTCAATTCATTGTTTATGATGACATCATAAGGATAAGGTCCTTTGATGCTCTCCTTCCCAGCCTTACCCAGTTCTGTATCCAGTGCCACCTGTTAGGAAACTGTCCCTCCGCGCCGCCCTGTGCCCTGCCTCAGTGTGTGCCGTGGTGTGTCGGATCCGTGTGGTGACCGGTGCTGTGACCTCCCCGTCCCGTCCGTCCTCAGGGTGAACGTGAGCTGCGGCCAGGCCGAGCGGCGCGTGCTGCTCACCGGTCTGCACGCCGTGGCCGACATCTTCTGCGAGTGCTGCAAGACCAACCTCGGCTGGAAATACGTGAGTGTCGGCCGGCCGAGCGGGACTGATTGGAGGGCAGTGGTTTTTCGGTGTGTGCGTGTGTGTGGGGGGGGGGGGGGGTGGTTGGTCCCGTTGCAGCTGCGCCGAACGGTGTTGTGGCGAGAGGTTGGGCAGGCGCGGCGGTGGCAGCTGCCGGTGTCCTGTACCGCTCTTTGTCCAGCTCCTGCGGCTCCCGCTCCCCCACCCTGTTTGTCTGTTGGCTCACTGACGTGCCAGTCAGCATGTTGTGTGCCGTGTCCGTGCGTTGGTCCCCTCCTGCTGTCGGTGGGGAGGTCCTGGCCGCTCCGTCACCGCCCGGTGGCGGGACACTGACGCACCCCCGTCTGCGTCTCTGTCGCCGGGAGCCGGCTCGGTCGGCGGCCGGCGGCCTCTGTTTTGCAGCGCAGTGAGTCCGATCAATGCCCGCAGGCTGTGTGTCCACGCAGTCTCTCTGCCGTCCGGTGCGACCGACGTCGAGCGGCTGTGTGAGGGGAGGGGGCAGGGAGGGGTGCGTGGGTGCGTGTGTGGAGGACAAAGGCGACCCGGGGTGACCCGACTCTGCCCGAACGCCTGGCTCTGTCCCTGTGGCGTGTGGCTTGTGCGGAGTACTCTAATGCAGTGCTGCCATGTACCGCGTGTTGTACAGCGTATACGTTGTGCCCCGTATTGAGTGTGGTGTACCCTGACACCATTTGCCGTGTGACTGCTAACAAAGGCGATGGATAGCTCTCGGCGAAGCAATGGTCGAAGCGTGACCCTCGGAGCCGGGAGCGGAGCATGACTCACCGTCCACCTGTTGCAGGAGCAAGCGTTCGAGACCAGCCAAAAGTACAAGGAGGGCAAGTTTATCATCGAGCTGGCGCACATGATCAAGGACAACGGCTGGGAATGACGGCCGCCGGGTCCGCCGGGCCCCTGATCTCTGCGCCGCCGCCGCCGCCGGCCCGCCGGGTCCACCCGCCGGCCGCGCCTCCCGAGCGCCACTCCGCGCCGATCTCTCGAAGCTTCACTTCTTGTACTTATGGACAGGTGGCAATGCCGGCCGGCCGGACTCGCTCTCCGCGCCGGCCGCCCGTGGTGTGATTGTTGGTGATTTGTGTTCGCTTTAGGCGTAGAATCAGGCTGTTTTGCCGCGCAGGTGTGACCGTTCGTGTAGACAGTTCAGTTTTCTGTTGTCCGCGATTTGTCGGCTTTCAACCAATTTGCGCGCGTCATTCTTTCACTTTAAGTGCATACCAAAGACAATCCGCGACCGTGGCGTACTGAGACAGGCAATAAGTGTTTCGTTTAATCCGGGATCTGTTATGTTTGTGCATGATCTAGTCTTTCATCCGGCTTAACCAGGGGCCCGCACTGAGCGGGCCGGCGCGGCGCCGCCTCCAGCTAGCTGTGAGTCGAGCCCCACCTGTCGCTACTAGGCCGCCGCGTCGGGACGCGCGCGCCGCCCGGACGCAGCAGCTCGCACGGCCCGGCCGCCGGCCCGGCGCCAGCTTGCCACCGCGCTAACAGATCGTAGAGCGGGCGCGGCTATTTTTGTAGGTTGGAGCGTGTCACATTCCGCAGTGTAAAGTACGTGTCCCCGCTGTCTGTCCGCGGGTGCCGCTGGCGGCCGGTGGTGGTTCTCCCCGTGTCTGGCCGTCGGTCCCCCGTCTCCCCTCTCCGCGTGCCCTGACCGTCCCTGCCTCCTGTCCCGCGCGCTGGTCGCGCCGCGAGCCGCAGTCCACTGACCGTCCGAACCCAGCGGTCGGCTCGTCCAGCGCCCCCGCGGGCCGACCCCCGTCGACTGACGCGCGTGCCCGTATCAGTGTCAACGAAAATGTACCATGCAACTGGCCTTGATCCTTCTAGCAGCGCGGTTTCTCCGATGGATTAGAGGACTTACCTAAATAGGTCTTTGAGCGTTTAAAAATTGTGCTGTTCGCTGTTTGTATAGGACCGCGCATTATTGGGGATAGTATGCACCGTGATAACATATTGTAAACCAGTTCTCGGCATTCATTCAGTGGCGTTACTGCAGTCTGAAAAAGTCGCAACCTGTTACGTTTGGGACGTCATGTCATGGCTGTTCAAACGGGGATCGGATTTGCTACTGTTGACGGGATGACTCGAAGTAGTTTTAACCACTGGCGATTGATGTGGACGTTTTTGAGACGTCTTTCTCGCCGCTGCGTGTACCGGCGGACACCCGGATGTGACTCGGGACGTTCTGCAATCTCTGACGGCGTGACCCTCAGAAGTAACAGAGCGTCCTGAGCGGGACGCGAGTGTCCGCCGGTCTAGGGCGGATCGGAGTAGCGCTCTCGACCCCTGACGCCGCTACTTTGGTCTTGTCGGCGTTGGATGGTACTTTGGTGGAGATGCGAGGTTGGAACGTGAATACCTGTTACTGTGAGGTGCAGGGCACCCATAGTTTGTACCTGACATACAGATCTACGTAGCGTCAGGCTACGAAGCACTGCATGTCAGACGTACTAATTGTGAGGTGCCCTGGATTTCGCACTTGCACTGTTTGGTGCCGAGCTCGCATCTCCGCTGAAGTAAGGACGTTCGAACGGGCCAGAGTAGCGGCGTTTGGTGTCGAACCCGCCACTGGATCCCGGGGTGCTAACTCGGTCCAACCGGGTGGCAGTCTCTCCGGGGGTCGCGCACCGGCGCATGGAAGATACCATCAAGGTCACAATGATACTACCATCTCAGCGTGGTTTTCCTTCGAGTTTGTTGGTCAACAGTAGCAACAGTCTTCTCATTTTGAACAGCCATTGAATTACCCCAGCTTTGCATCTGTACCAGCCTGTGCAAGGAACATTACTGGCCAGGCAACACCTGTATCTGAATTAGTGTTTCTACTAAGGTACTAACCAGCAATCTCGTCGGCGCCCCTGGCTCCTATCTCCTTGCGTTGTCCTGTCCTATTCCGGGTCCTGACCGCGCAATCCCTATACGCGCCTCATATTCATCTGTACATAGTCGTTTTATACGTGATCTGCGCGGAACAACCGGACGCGTACCGCCGCCGCCGCCGTCAGAAACTGAAGTACCGACCCAGCAGCCGCGCGCCCGGCCGCTCCGCGGGCGGCCGTGTGCCGCCGCGCATTGTGTGTATATGGTGTACGTATATGTATGTATATGTGTGTTTTCACCGGGCACCCAGAAATACACGGAGGAACACAGTAACTACTAGCTCTCACTCCGCGCAGAGGACGTCAGGCGGCCATCGTACACACAGAGACAGCGGAACTGGTGATCACTGCATATATTGGTCATGGTCGTCCTGGACTGGACCTGCCATGCTGGAATAGCTCGTCTCACAGGGCGCCTCGGCCCGAACACGGAATGCACACACGATGGCCACCATTCACAGCCACTTTCCCGCTCTCAATTGCGTCTTTTTGTCGCACCGCTGGCGGACCGACTAGTCTTCGATCTGCTCGAAGTGCGTGGCCACCCACTGATATGGCTCGCCCGGGCCGGCCGGTATACACTCGAACGACACGTCCGCTCCTGAGGGAGAACAAATGCACACACAGGGTCAGCCTGGTCCCTCGAACGACACTGCTCCTGGAGGGAGGACAATCACAGTGAGTGAGGCGTCAGTGAGACCGCTCGAACGACACGTCTGCTCCTGAGGGAGGACAAATACACAGGGCGTCAGTGAGACCACTCGAACGACACGTCTGCTCCTGAGGGAGGACAAATACACAGGGTCAGCCTGGTCCGTCGAACGACACGTCCGCTCCTGAGGGAGGGCAAATGCACACACAGGGTCAGCCTGGTCCCTCGAACGACACTGCTCCTGGAGGGTGGACAATCACAGTGAGTGAGGCGTCAGTGAGACCGCTCGAACGACACGTCTGCTCCTGAGGGAGGACAAATACACAGGGCGTCAGTGAGACCGCTCGAACGACACGTCTGCTCCTGAGGGAGGACAAATACACAGGGTCAGCCTGGTCCGTCGAACGGCGCGTCCGCTCCTGAGGAGAAAAATACTCTGATCGTATAAACGACACGTCGGCTCCCGAGGACGGACACGCAGAGCGCATCAGACCGCTCGGCTGCCGGACCAGGGATGGGGAGCCTGGAGCCGACCCTGGCCTACCGCGCAGCGCCCTGATGACCGGACACCCTGCCGAGCCGGTTGAGGGCAGGGTTCGGGTGGGGTGGAGACCAACTGCGCCATTTGCCGCCCTGCAGTGAGCCCTGATCGATCAGCGCCGCCGCCGCAGGGCGACCCGTCAGCAGGCGCCGCTCATAGCGCCGACACTACCGAACACTCGTGACCCGGCCCATCTCATACTAGACCTGTTTGTGCTCGGCGCGCCAGGGCGGCCGTCCAAACGGGGTCCTGGGCGCCCAGCCAAACTCAGCGGCCAATCGCTACACCCACTGTTACACACTCACCGCTTCCTTCAGTGTTACACCACTGCTAAACTTCACGCACACTCACTGAGACACTGGGTGACACGTCCGCTCATACATTCCAGAACCACTGCTAAACCCACTGCTAGGTACACCAACATTAACTTCTGCACTTACTGCTACATTTACTGCATCACCAGCTGCAGCTACCCTAGAAGTTACATCACTGCACTACACCCACTTCTACACTCACCACTTAACTCACCACACTCGCTGAACACTAACTGCTACACTCACCGCTAAGCGGCACCCACTCCTGCACTCACCGGGCGTGTAGCAGTCGGTGAGGTCGAGCGTGTCCATGCGCGCGCCGAGCCAGTAGCAGACGGCGCGGTCGAACATCACCTGCTCGATGGTGCCGTCGTGGTCCCACTCGGCCAGGCCCTGCGACTCGTCCACGAACGCCAGGATCTGGCCCTTCCCTGAGGACGAGTCAAGCGCGACGGAGGTTAGACCGCCAGGCATAATCCAACATTGAGTGACCACTTCAGCAAGGCGGAATAAAACTAAGGACGGATCATTAGTGTTGTTCTTGCACCAAAAGTTCACCTTGGATCAGAAAACGAGGAAGAATTACCAACTCAACACTAAAAATGAACCTTGTAGAATAAGAATACTGCCAGCACATGCGGTGACAGAATACGTAGATAATTCAAATCAAGCAAGAGAAAAAAAGACAGATACAACCCTCAGTAAACAATCACACACGAACGAACAAGAACCACGAGAGCAAAAACTCAGCTGACCTCTAGCTGAGCCTGCCTATCCTCACAGAGCAGCCCACCCTCTGCCGGCCGGGCGCCGTGTCCGATCTTACCTGACACTGGTTCGACGGGCGGCGGCGGTGACCGGTCGCCGCCGTCGGCCGGCCCCGTCTCCAGCCGGTCCAGCTCGTCGTCCAGGCTGCCCTCCGTGCCGCTCTCCGAGCGCTGCACGTCGTCCCCGAGCTGGACGGCCGCCAGCCGGTCCGACACAGAGTCCAGTCCCGGCGCCTGGCCCGGGAGCCCGCCCGCAGCGCCGTGCCGCAGCTCCAGACTCTCCAGCGTCGGCGAGCTCTCTGGCTGCTGCGCCGGGGCCGGCGGCGGCGGTGGCGGCGCCGGCGCCGGGTCCACTTTGAAGGCGGCGGCGGCCGCCTCCCAGTCGGCGTCCGGCACCGAGCGCTTCTGCTGCGCGCTGGGCGCCGGCGGCACGGCGGAGGTCGGCAGCGGACCACCGCGCACCATCCGCTCCAGGCTCTCCTGGTCGACCGAGAGCGGCGCCATGGCCGGGGGCGGCAGCCGGCCGCCGAACAGCAGCTGCTGAGGCGCCAACGGCTGGTGCGCCAGGTGCGGGTGGCCCAGCGCCAGGCCGGGCGGCCAGTAGGCCTGCTGCGCGGCCGGGTACCCGTAGAAGGCGGGGGGCAGCGGCGGCGCCGGCAGCAGGCCGTCCCTGTGCGGCACCGGCGGGGTGCCCAGCAGCGAGGACGAGGCCGCCGCCTGCTGCCGGCTGTAGTTGGCCGAGGCCGCGGCGGCCAGCGCCGCTGGAGACAGACCGGGCGGGTTGGCCGGCCGCGGAGCAGACAGGCCCGGCGGCGAGCGTCCCTGCGCGCGCGCCGCTGACGCGGGGGTGCCGTGCGGGAGGCCAGCAGGGGACCACGAGGCCAGCGGGTCGGGCGTGGGGAGCAGCGGCGACCGCCGCGGCTCCGGGTCCGGCAGCAGCGGCGGCCGGGCCGGGTCAGCCGCGCTCGGGCGCGCCGCCCCGCTCGGGCTCGACACGGGCCCGGGCTGCTCCGGCGAGGCTTCGCTGAGCGGCCGAGACGGACCGGAGCTGGCCGACCCGGCCGGCGCCGCCCGGCCCAGCAGATCGTCACCGTCGTCGTCCGGTTCCACCTCCTCGTCCCACTCGGCGTTACCGTCCACGGCCGCCATCCAGTCCGCCCCGGCGCCGGCGTCACTGCCGCCGCCCGCGCCGCCGTCCATACCCGTATCAAACGCGTCCAGCTCGGCCACCATGGAGGCGCGCAGTCTGGGCGTCTGTTTGTCGGCGCGAGGGCCGCGGTCGCCGCCGCCCAGGTGGGGCCTGGCCATGAGCGGTGGTACGGTCGCCGTAGCCATCGGTACCGCCCAGCCGTCCCCGCCGGCACTGGGCGGCGCCGCCGGCAGCTCAAAGTCGTCCAGGTCATCGATACGCGACCTGGCCGACTTGGATTTCTTCTGTTTCTTAACGACGGAGGCCTCCGTGCGCTTTTGGCTGGCCTCAACGGTGGGCATTTCGCCGCGCCAGACGCACGTGCAGCGCCAGTCGGCCCCGCGCGGCGCCGAGCCGGGCACCGCGTTAAAGTGCACCCGCTGACCGGATTCCAGTGTGTCCGAGAGCCGCCCAGCGCACGGACGGCCGTTAATGAACACCTCCTCGTCCGAGAACCAGGCCACCTCGCGGCGGCCGGCCAGCACAAAGTGCAGCAGGCCCTCTGCGGCCAGTACGTCCTTCACGGTGCCGATCTTCTCGTAGAGGTGTCCGCTCTGCGAGTAGCCGGCCTCCCTGCCGACCTGCTGCGTCGTCTCCAGCCGGACGGCCTCCATCACCCACCAGCCGCAGCGGTCCGTGCCGTTCGGCTTGTCGTACTCGTGGCACGTGAAGCGAACCTGGTCGCCGCGGCTCAGCACCTTGGTCAGGTCGCGCCGCTCGGCTGCCGTCGCCTTCTCGGGGAATGTGTATTTGCCGGTGAGCAGGAGGGCGCGCTCCCGCTGGCCGTGGTAGTCGAAAGTCAGCACCGCCTTGTAATTGACCACCAAGTCGACGCGACCGACAATCGCCTTGAGCGTAGTGCGTAAGATAAACTCGCCGCGCTCGCCGCCCGGCAGTTCACAGTCCTCGTCCTCATAGTAGGAGTCCTCCGAGGCGGCAGGGAACCACACCTGGCAGGGAAGGAGAGCAACGGTCAGAACCGGTCCGAGCTCACACAGAGAAACAACAACCAGCCGAGGGAGGAACGGAACTGAGTAAGCTCATCTTGGACAGAACGGCCAGAATCAGACACACGCTGGGAACCGGAGAACACATCGCATTGCCAGTCAGGAAACCACAGGAGCTTACTCGGAAGCAGCTCAGTCAAACAGCGTGAGTCAGTGATTGTTACGGCCAAGACAATATTCTATCGGTACCATATTAGCTCTTCAGCCAGCCAGAGGCCGCGGTCGATCAAGGAGAAACACAAGAAATGTGCATTGATCGGTGCGGGCCAGAACCACACTAGTCACATAGTTATAAAGGAGACGCTGTTTGTCGGTCAGTGACTCAGTCACTGGCCACAGTCATGAGTCAGGAAACCACAGGAGATTCCTGACTGCGGAATCTCCATGGAGGCCTCGGGAATGGGAAAAGAGCGGTCTGGCAGCAGGGAGGGGCACATGTTAGTCAGAATGCGGTCACTCTGTTCATTGGCCATTGTTTTGCTCGGAGGGAGCAGGTCAGTCAGAATGCGCTGTGCGGCGGGCGCCTTACCTTGTCGACCAGCCAGTGGCCGGAGTAAGCCCCGGGGAGGGAAGCAGAGCGGTTTGGGAGGGGGAGGTCAGTCAGGGTGAGCTGTGCGGCGGGCGCCCTACCTTATCGGCCAGCCAGTGGCAGTTGGTTTGGGAGGGGGCAGGTCAGTCAGGGTGCGCTGTGCGGCGGGCGCCTTACCTTATCGGCCAGCCAGTGGCAGTTGGCAGCGGTTGTGGTGGGTCGGCAGTCAAACACCACTGTGTCGCCCACGTCCAGGTGGTTGGAGATGGGCTCGGCGGCCGGCAGTGGCGCGCCGTCTGGCTGCACGGCCGCCCGGCCCAGCGCGCACCGCTCGCGACAGCCGGCCGGCGTGACGAACAGCAGCACGCCCGAGTCTGTGCCGACCTCGGCCACCATCCCGGTGACCGCCGACAGCGGGCCCGACCTGACACAGACAGACGACAGACAGGTCAGCAGACGGGCCGACCTGACCGAACAGACAGACAGGTCAGCAGACAGCGGGCCCGACCTGACAAAGACAGACGGATCAGCCGACAGCGGACCCGTCTTGACACAGACAGACATCAGCGGGCCGGACGTCCTGACACAGACAGACAGACAGAGCAGTAGACAGCTGGGCGGACCTAACAAAGACCGGCAGGTCGGCAGACGGGTGAGCCGGACATGACGCACATACAGACAGAGAGTCAAGAGAGATACATCAGTCGACAACAAGGACCTGTCACAGAGAAACAGGCATATAGACAGATAGCACAAAGCATCATGTCAAGTTATTACGTTACGCTTCACTACAATTGCATCGTGATAAGTTTTGACAAGCATGAGAGTCAAACAAGTTCGTGATACAACATGTCATTCGGTTTAGACAACTTTGTAGTTACATGCCTGGAAAAATAATTCGGGCAACTGATTCACAGCAAACTGTACTGTGTAAACATGCTCTAGCCCTCACGTAGCCCTGAGTTTATCGGGGATATCTCTGCACACCAGACACACAGCTGTCACGCTGTGGAGAACTCTTCCATCCGTGACATGGCGCGTCGGTTATTCCAGCATCACGATCGAGTACCATCTGTCGTGTGCTCTGCATTCCCGGCTTACTCAGACCTCTTACTAAGGTGTGCTCAGTCAGTAGGGGCAGTATGGGGGATGATACAGGTTACCCCGGCGACTGACCTGGGCGCCGACTCGAGTTTTCCCCTCCAGGCGAAGGCCACCAGCCATTGTGCGTTTACAGTCTTGTTATCCACCGGCGTCATATCACAGAAAAGCTGAAAACAGCCACAGTCAAAGTTCAGTATACATTGGGTACAATCGTTTTGGGGACAACAGTACGCTCATGAGGATGATAAACTATATTTGACCTATCTTGCTAAAACACTCAGTATGCTTGCTCACTCAATGTCACCTCCTAATTGAGCTGCGCTACGAGAGATAACGAATAGCCAACCTCAAACAGACACCAATTGCGGGCAAAAGGCATATAATCAAGACATTGAGTGTGTTGCGAACCCTCTCACAAATCACTCTCATAAAGCTGTCAGGGCAATGGGGGGACCGGCAAAAGTCCGCAATTATCGGACAACAGACCGTGGTTGATCCGTGTCAGCTGCTTGCACACCATATCTCCCTTATCTACAGCGCTTACCCCGGATGATTCAGGCGGTTATCGGAGCCGGCGCTCCCCACACACCCAGCCGAGCTCCGCTCGACACCCGGTGGAGGCGTCCCGAGCGAGGGGTATATGGGGTGTGGGGTGCGGGACTGACCTTCTCACCACAGACGGGCGGCCGCAGGTGCGCGCACGGCCCCTCCTCCGAGTAGAGCCGGTCCAGCGGCAGCACGGCCCGCTGTGTGGCGCCGCGCAGTGTGAAGCTGACCACGCAGCGGCTCTGGTCGCCCTCGATCACCTGACATTGCCGACCGTCTGCCCTGGACGCCTGCGGAGAGATGTACAGGGTGGGGCAGCATAATCGGGAATAAATATCAAACGGGATTATTTGGTCATGAATTTAAAAATATAGCTCCAAGCACTATTTTAACAACATCCCATCAATCGGTCACCTTTTACCTATCCCTCATCCTATTTGACCGCCCTTCGCGTCGATGACCTTCTCAAGGCGGGTCCAAAAGCACGCGCATGCACGTGCAGCCTCCTGCTTGTCCATGATCGCCCATCAGCTTCGTACCTTGCACTGAAGACCGTTTTTACTGATGATAAGTTGTTCATTAAACTTCTACCAAAAAACGCTCCATATAAAGAATTTGGTCGGATTTAAATCGGCGGAGTTGAAGGACCAGAAGTTTTTGGTTCATCTCAGGTGGAGGTGCCCTACACAATAACATGTCGTCCTCACTGCAGTACCAGCACGGACAGAGTCCTCGTAAGACGTGATCTGGACCGTCAGTGATCCTCTCTTCCGACGACTCCACGTGAGTCTGCCAGAGTGTGGATGTATTTACCAGAGGTGCTCGTTTTATCCGGGCTCGATGAAGTAGGGTGCACCACGTGCACCTCCCTTGAAGACCACCCATAGGTCCATCACCTCAACAGGATGTTTACTTTGCATGACCGCTGCAATATTCTCGATACAATCCCCTATATGGCATGCCATTCTTTTTTATCGTATTCCAGTCGGTGATAAGATTTTTGGTCGCTGAAGTTTTGAACATTGTTTCTTTTTAATATGCTCAAGAGCTTCTTCCTTATATTCAAGTGAGTCATCTTGTATGTCCTCTGCTAAGAGTTATTTTACGACGATTACGTTAACTTTTTGTCCTAAGTATCCCCACACAATCCTTATCGTCCGTGATAACACGTTGACCTGTCCAGCAACCTTTACGTGGAATGGCATTGTTTTAAACAAAATGTTCTTGTTTTACTCGTTTAACATTAGTGTCTATGGGCGCGCGCAAAGCACTTGGAGCACCGTCGAACTATTTTGCTGCTCTTTTCCAGGAAGTTGCATGCTCATGGATGTAGTCATGTCAGATGATGCACAACTTTTGGGCGTTTCATTGCCATGATATAATTTATCAAAATAATGCCATGCCTACTCATGACCAGAGCCCAAAAAGCATTCCCGATTATGCTGCCCCACCCTGTAGAGGTCAGCCGGAGCCGCGGCGCTCATACACTATCAGCTATGCAGCCTCCCGGCCACCGAGGAGCCGGCAGCTGCCAGAGTCAAATGTTGACCTGTAGAGGTCAGTCGGAGCCGCGGAGCTACATAATACATTAGAGCCTCCTCCTCCGCCGGCCGCTGGGAGTAGGGGTTGGTCCACCATACGGTGTAGCCTGTCACCGGGACACGGTACGGGTAACAGGACATAGGCTAATTCAATTCCAAGCTATACCTACTAGGTATACCTAGGTATACCTAGGTATTACCTAGGGGCTTATCATGACAATATTCATCGAGCAGAAAAAAGCGTCTGTGAAACATGCGCCAACTCTTTAGTCTCTGATAAGCTGAAACAACAGCAAAATAGCCGGACATGTTTATGTTATAGCGGTATCAAAAGCCTTAAATGCTTTTTTTTATCGAAACCAATTCGCATCTCACCATTTCAGCAGAAACGGTAATAACTAGTAATAAACATTTGAACATTTGAGCTTGAGCATTTGAGCATTGACCCTCGTTCAAATTTGGCGAGGACGACACAAACGAAGGTCATCCGTGATCCGTGAGTGGAGAGCATCACATTGACTTAAAACCCATGAGCTGAGCCAAGCATAAAGAGTTATACTCCACTACCGGGGGGGGGGGGGATAGGGCATGACGCCAAGCAGACTGCGATTAATCACTTTTCTTTTCTAAACTTCATTAGTCACCGGAGGCTTACAGCCAGATGTGAACCTCAAAAGCTCAATACGACTTGTCAAATTGGCCGAGCATTTGTATCATAATAAGCACCTATCAATACGCAAAGACGTGTCATCGCACACAAACAAGTGTGTCCAGAAGAGGGTCATAAAAATTACATCCCTTGCCGTTCAACAAAGTTCGCCTTTGACCCCTCTAAAGCAAAAAAAGATACAAAACTAGCATGGAGCCGCTTCTATGTGACAAACGAGCGTGGATCACCGAGCCGAGCAGACACAAGCCAGTCATAAACGTGTGACAAAGGGCGCACAGGTGGCAGGCGGCAGTCGCGGCTATGGGCCACGATAACGGCGGCTGAGTTTCACGGCACTATCCACCAAGGTCGCGGTGGCAACTTGCACGACCAGCCGCCGGCGTTCGTCACGGGGGGAGCCTGGACCAGCCCTGAACAGACGGTGCCAGCCGGGTGGCGGGGGAGCGCTCGGGTATTTACCGCCGTACTACCGCGACAGCGCCCAAGGCCGAAATCCGACACCCGTCCGCAGATTGTCCGATGGCGGCTGGCGCCTACCAGTCGACTCGAGACTGGCCCCGTCCCCCCGGGGGAGAAAATAGCATCCACAACAGCCTCGTCCCAAACCCGCTGCACGCTGCCACCACGCCGGCGCGGCGCGGACGCTTCAGAAATGCTAAGCAGACCTCGGGCAGTGGCGGGAATTCAGGGCTGTGGATTCAGCGTCGGCGTCGGTCGGAGTCGACGGCTTTGTCCGGAGTTGGAGTCGGAGTCGGTATAATCCTACCGACTCGGACCCCGGAGTCGGAGTCGAAACTGTATGGCTCAAATTCATGCCCTAGACCGGTTGCTTGACGATATTGTTACGTTCGTTGAACTTTCAAAATTAGATTCTGTCGACGCTTAAGCCCTGTTTCACCCCTGTTTTGTACGAGCGTCTTCCGTGAAAGGGCAGAAGACGGAGCCTGCATTTAGTACTGCATATTATTTGAAAGGCATAAATCATAATACATTTTGCAATGAAAGGCCTTGGAACCACTGGCGGTCCCAGGGGGGGGGGGGGGGCACGGGGGCCATGGCCCCCCCTTTGGTGCTGAAAGGTGGGGCCATACTATCTTTTGGCCCCACCTTTCAGATCGAACAAAAGTCCTAGAAAAGCTTTTTGTATGTTTCATTTTCTTTCTTGCGCCATCAAAGGACGTAAATTTCACTCATGAGTGGGCTCAGTTTCGCATTCTGTCAATTTGGCGGTCAGCGTCGCTGGCACCGGTTCACGAGTATGGCCGCATCTTACATGGAATATCAGCGTGGGTTTACTTGAGGCTCTCGTAGGCCCAGCAATGGCTGGCATGAGACCTCTTCGGCAGTGGCGGGTGGGCCCTGCCAAAGGAGCGTGGCTCTAAGACACTAAAGTAAGACCTCATGGGTTGGTGCTGTGCACCTCAGAAGCCCGGTGGTGACGCCGTATGCCGGCTTGGTTTCTTAAGGATTAGCGTGGGATCTCCGGGGCCTGCATAGGGTTTGCATTAGCTAGTATGTAATTTCAGAGGCCTGTATGTAATGTGTACACAGTGGCGGTCGCGGGGGGCATCAGGGCCATGCCCTCCCAAGGCACATAAAGGGGGCCATCATATCATTTGCCCCCCCCCCCCTCAAGCAACCGATGGGCCCCCATAGGTGTATGGGACCCTGGCCCTGATTCGATCGTCACGAGGCTAAAAAAACACGCCCACACCGGTCTTTGAGCGTCCAATACTGACCTCTGAGGGAACTTCAGTGGCGGTCAAGCGCCCACGTTGACCGCTAAGAGCCCACATCGACCTCTGAGGCCCCACATCTGACCTATGAGGACCCCTTACCGGCCTCAGGGGCCCCAACCGGCGTCTGAGGGTCTCACACCGGTCTCTAGTGGCCTTATTGCTGTCTCTGAGTCTGGTGTCCCAAGACGAACATTTAGGTGCCAATGAGGGCCCCGCATTGGCTGCTGAAGACCCGATGCTGGCCTCTAAGGGCCTGCATTGGCCTCTGAGGAGGGCTCATCTTGGCCTTTGAGGGCCCTCTGCTGGCCTCTGGGTTCCAACGACGGCTCATTCCGGTCTTTTAGGGCCCCACGCTGACCGCTGAGGGCCCCATGTTGGCCTGTAATGAGTAGGACCCACATAAGCCTCCGAGAGCCCAACTCGGTCTCTGATGGTCTCAAACTACTGGCCTTTGCAGTTTGCAGGCCCTGTACTGGTCTCTGAGGGCCCTACACTGGCCTCTGAGTGAAAACATACATGGGTTGGCTTCTGAAGATCACAGGGCTCACGCAGACTCCTGCACAGCCGTACGTTGGTCCTGATCGAGATTACTTTACGTCCTGATGGTCCCGCGCAGATTCCCTCATATTTCGACGTCGGGACCCCATGAGCCGGTGTGGGTCCTGGGGCTGGCAGAGACTGATGAAGTCCTTAGGGCTCAGGGCCAGTCTTTTTAGCAGTAGGACTATAAGGCAGGTTGAGTGAGCCCCAATAGAGCCGTTGCGAGGCCCCGCGCGAGTCGTGCGCGGCCCTCAGATGCCAATTTTGAAAACCAGGAACCTGTGGGGCCGGGGGTCTCCAGAGGTCGGTGTACCTATTCTCTCCCGCCTCCAAACAACTATATGGGTAAATGTCATAGTCTGAAAATGATCTCTGGGTTTCACATGCTTGTTCAAAGCAAGAGGTATCCGTACTTTTCCGAATTGTTTTATTGTGGGAAGGTCATGAATCCGCGTGCCCGACCTTCCAGTATATGCTACACCGATCCGTCGCCATGGTGCAGTGGCCCGACCGGTGGAAACACCGTGGGACGGGAAATGGAACTGGTGCTTTTGCCTGAAATTGAGCTTAAAGATTTCACGCAAGAATGAGGTGGATGAAGCATAAGTAATGCCAACTGCGCGGCGCCTCGTGGACGTAAAAAATTAGCCGATCACCCCCCCCCCCCCCCCCCGGTGACTGATAAATGTTATGTCCCGCGAGTGTGACTTTGGCCCCCCCTTTTGCGAGCGGCTGCGACCGCCAGTGCTTGGAACGCGTCGATTCATTTCAGACAAGAAAGAAAGATCTCCGGCAAGAACTTTACCTTTCATTTTACGGACTTTAAGAGCAATGTCCGGAGTCGGAGCTGGAGTCCCAATTTGGAGTCGGAGTCGATTTTGGAAGTCGGACTCGGAGTCGGAGTCACCAACAAATCTATCGACTCCGTAGCCCCTGGGCAGGATGCCACTTACTCGCACAGCAAATACACCAGTGTACTTAATTTAAATCCACAACGCAGCTTTCATACCTACACAAGTCGCAACTTTAGGCAATGAACGGACCAACAACTGTGCAACACTTGGTTCATTAACACCATGGCCCCTTTGGTTTATGCCGTGAGCTCGACGTAAAGTAAAATTTCACATCATTCTACGCGCTTCATTGAGAGAAATATGATGCTGGTAAAATGTTTCCCATAGCTGGAAAAGTTGCCGCAGAGAAACAGCATCTGCATAAATCGGTCAATTTTGCATTGTTGTTTATACTGTAAACAGTTTGAGCCTCTGTTGATTAAAACACTTGACCTGATGTGAAGTCTGATCTGCTAGCAAAGTAGGGAAAGGACGTTTAATCAGCTGTCGATTGCTTTTCTCACGCCCTCTAAGTTCCTTTAGTTCGGCGGCCACCATGTTGGATATTGGTCTCAGTCGCAAAATCTCAACATTTGATCTTTGATGACCCTAAGTGACCAAAGCCGAAAGAACCGACTTGAATGAAAAATTACAAGAATACTTCCAAGTTCCAACAGTGGTCGGTTAGAGCTATCAGCACTCTCTCCGTAGAGTGCGGTAGGTAGTGCTATAGAGTGCTGTGGAGTGCTCTTCACATGCGTTTGTCTTTCTTACGTTTTCCAGATAGGTACCCAGGTGAAGCCAAATAAGCCACCCCCACCTGCACCGTCAACGTGGCGCAGTTAAGCGATAGGTGCCCCACGTCACGTGGGTGTTGGATGAGGAACACACGCTGGAACACACCGAGACCGTTCATTGGAACACACACCGAGCCACCGAGCCGCTAACAATGGGTGGTAATAATGGTTACGTGACACGGTGCGCAGTGTTGTAACCACAAACGTGGATACGGTACCAGTGGCCCCGACTGCAGAAGCACAGTTGAGCGCGGCCCGAAACGCCGTAACAAAACAGGCGTAGGATAAAGTGCATCGGACTCACCTTGGACTTCGCCTTGGCTTGGGGATGGCTCAGTCCCGGAATGTATGACATGTTCCCGAGCAGCAAATCTGGCGAATGGCAGAAAAATGTCACATGATAACACAGTCGAAATTATCATAAACCATCAATAATTCACAACTTTACATTTAACCATCGCCCCAGCAGGACATTTTTCATAACGCAGCCTGGCAGGGGGGAGGGGTCGCTGCGACCCCCCACCCCCCAGCGTTTCGAACTAAGCGTTGTAGCGCTTAGCAACAAAGACCAGTCGATTGCTCTCAAAGAGTACTCACGATTGGTGGTAATTTTTTGGCCCTAGGTCAATATTTGACCCAGTTATGGCAGGTCAAAGGTCAAATTTTGGGGAAAAGCTAAAATTTTCCAAGTTACTTAGCCAATATTGGTGAATCTATGAAAGATAGCGACGTGAAACTTTCACGATTGTGTTTCTCAACGAATTAGCAGCAAAATGATGTAAAGTTGGCCGCATTTCAGTCATTACTGGCGTGACGTAGTCCGCAGGAACACAGGGGGTCACACCCGCCACCGGCGAGGACGGTCCTAAATGACCTGGATGGACCTTGTAAAGGTCAAGGAACAGTTTTAACCCGCGCACCGACGGGGGTCTGCGCCAACTTAGTACCGACGGGGGGGGGGGGGCGGATGACCGCCCCCCCCCTGAGATCTCGAGAACGAAGCAAGATAGCGACAAGCGGTAAACGGCATCGGATACGCACGGACAAGGTCTACAATTTTTACTAAGGTCATTTTCAGGTCAGGTCAAAGATGACGTCACAGGGGTCGAAAAAGTCAAAATGGCGGCGCTAGATATGGAGAGGGTTTTTCTCGAATAACTTTCGAAGTAGTCAAGATAGGAACAAACTAAGGGCATCATCGTGATCCTCTCGTCAATCCGCATCGAATGATATATATGTTGACCTCGAAAGGTCAAGGTCAAAGGTTGACCTCAGGTCACGTGACCTCGAGGTCATCATGTATATCATTCGATGCGTCTTGACGAGCTGAACACAATGAGACCATCCGCGCGGCTGTATCTTGTTCCTGTAAGGAGTTATTGGCAAAAAACCTTTGGTGACCTTTGATGACGTCACATGACCTTACAGCTGCCCAACAGCAAAACAGACCTCAAGGTAGTGAAGGTTGATCGTATGTGAAGTCATGTATGGTATATGGGGCCATTCCGACCCGTTTTAGTGGTAAAAACAGGGAGTTGATTTTTCCCCCATTGACTTATAATGGGGAGGTCGCGAAATTGACCTGACCTTAGGTCACCGACATCAAAATTCCGAGATATACAAATTGTAGCTACTAATGACCTAATAACATCCTGCGACTTTCAAAGGCCTCCGACATCTACTGTAGCTCTGGCACGGTGACAAAGTTGCAAAAAAGTGACTTGAGGTTGGGTCATTCAAAGTGACCTGGTGACCTGACCTTAAAAGTTAGGAGGTTCAAACTTGCACACCATGTGTAAAATTGATGAGAGAATAGTCATACCAAATTTCGCGGCGCTACGCGCCGCGGTTTTCCCGCTATCCGCGAAAAACCTCAGGGGGGGGCGGATATCCGCCCCCCCCCCGTCGGTGCGCGGGTTAAAGGCATTTAGGTGAAATTTAAACCACAGATTCAGATTCAGGACCTCAAGAAACCCCACTAAACACAGCTCATATCACAAAGGCCATCGTGTGAACATGTAAGGTCATTGACCTTGGTTGACTTTTGAAGTTTTGAAAGGCCACTATTCAGTATAAAGATTCATGTCCTATCAAAATCTGACATCAATCCACGGAACAGTTTCGTTCTTGTCAATGAGGTCAGCACAGTTACGCGGAATGTACGATATTGTCGAAAACGGTCGGAGGTTGTAACTATTCTATTATGACGTCATAGCTCGGTGACCTGACATGACCCAAAAAATTTTACCAAAAGTTGCGCAAAGGATGCCCATAGGCTATTGTAAATTTCAGCACGATCCGACTAATGGTTCGGCGCCCACCACAAACAAACCTCAGGGGGGTCGCATCGACCACTTTGCCAGGGTTCAAACAATGTTCTGCACCTACGTTGACAGAAATAATTGAATGTTTTTGCACTAGTACGCTTATTCTCCATTCTCCTTTTCTCAGACGGTTACGCATTTGCATATATACCTGCCTAATGCATATATACCTACCTGCCCCTCAGCAGCGCTAATATTGATACCACCGTCCGAACTCCGAAACGCCACGCGCCCACCCACTTTCCAGCGCAACAAAGAGTGCACAAAACAAGTACATCATTGAATATGATGGGTCTGAAAATCGTTGACGTCATTATCCTTACAAAACTTTTTCTGCATTATGAAGCGGAAAGAAAAGCAGAAAAGTAGTAACAACTTTTGAGTGCATTGAAAATGGTATCATATTATATAAAAAACAGTCGATGGCCTTTGTTGCACAAATAATATGCGATTAGAATAGAATGAAGACGTACAGGAATATTTTCCTTCACTCTTATTGGTGAATGTAAATGACGACATACATTCGATTTTAGAATCGAAACTTCACCTCAAATAGAGGCAAAAGCGGCAAACCCTGCGCGTGTGTTTTGTTTTGATGAAAAAAAATAATTAGGCGCGAAGGGCAAGGAGATTGCTCAAGGCTGGATTTTGGGATTACTTCAACTTAGGAGATAATTCAAATCGCAGGTGATAACATTTCTGGATATTTCGTATGTAGGTATAAAGAAGTTTTTCTCGAATTCACGAATAAGTGCTGGGATGTTAGGTACCTTAGCACCGAGCACGGATGGTACACCCATTTCAATTTCATTTTATTATTGCACTTCTCGTTATTTGTACTGTAGCAGACGTCACACGAAGGTTTTCCGTATTGTCATGTTTTGGAGCTAATGTTGGCCCTAACTTTTGATTTATTCATGTCGCAATTAGAAGTTTCGACCTGTTCGCTTGTAATTATACTCTGTTCCGTTTCAAGCTTGCAGCCGAAGTGCCCTGCTCAAAGCAGTGCGTGATTTTTGTATATACAGCTCTTACATTTTAAGACGCAAATTCTTGAGCGGAGGAGCGATCTGCCAAAGAAACTCCAACTGCAAGCTTAATATGGAACAGACTATAGTGGCTATTTTAATTTATTTGAGTAGAATTGTGCCCAATTTTTGTTGTGGCTTGCATTGGGCAATACTGCCGGTATTAGTAAGCCTGGGGTCCCAGGAAGATGCCAGATTGGGACGACGAAGATATATAGACCAAAACAAACCTAACCTGACCTGACTTAACCTTAGGTACCTACAGGCCAGACTGGAAAACATCCATACACTATGCCGGACGCCTGTGAGACCCTCTTGCGCCGAAATTCGGCGCAAGCGATTTTGTGCTGAAACTTCTGTGTGATTTGCGCCAAAAGTTAGGTGCCCATTTGTGCGAAAATTAAGCCCTTTTTATATAAAGCACATGTGTACATCTACCGATCAAGGCTATAACCGCAGGTTGTTTGAAAAGACAAACACTATTCGTTAGAATTGTGTTTTTCTATTGAAAAACAACCGGAGCGGTCGTTCTCCGGGCTATGTTTTGCATGGCTGGCAGCGAATTGGGGCAACTTGGGTCAGGCCTAAACGCGTCGTTCAATCTTCGCAAAAATTTCAGGGTATGGGCTTCCGGAGGTGATCTACCTGATGGCATCGGTCGCTACTCGCTCAGAAATCTTTTGCGCGTGGCACGTGCAATTCCATTTTTCCCATAGTAAGTCAATGGGGCTTTGAGACACTTTTTGCGCGATCGCGAATGGCGGAAAAAATAGCCGTAGAAGGGGTGGTTTGGTTCCCACCGTCTCGTGGCCCACACGTTCAGGTGCACGCCCGTGTGCGCGGTGTACCCGTCAGAACTCGTTAACTTGAGTTGCACGACTTTGAAGTTGAACTTTTTTCGCTCCCCATGTTAAGTCAATGGACGTTTTTGCAGACGTATTTTCATTCGTTCATTGTACAACAGAGTGTTCCAGGGCCTTGTACGCTCTCCCATGTTTGAGCGTCCGAATGAGTTTTTTATTTCCACGGAAACCCAATAACTCAATAGTTTTAGCGCACTCTAGCTCCATGCCGTGAAACAAAGCTGGAGGCTGGAACCGTGAGTTCCGGGGCCACAAATTTGTGCCGATGTTAATATTGGCGGAGCAGTGTGTTCGAGGCTGGCGGGAGTCAGCGAGGGCCGGGCAGCGGAACAGCAAGTGCTCCGGCACATCACCCTCTTCTCGGCACACGGCGCAGAGCGCCGAGGGGCACCGCTTGTCTGGGCACTGCTGGCACTCCGCGGAGTGGAGACAGCCGATTCGGTGCCGTATTGGAGCGAGCGGCCCCAGTGGCCCGCCCTCATCTGGTGCACCGAAACGGCATCCTCTCGGTCCTCTCCGGGGATAGGGAGCGGCGGCGTGCTCCCGAGGAGTGGCTTGAATAGTGGTTCTGAGCAGTTGTCGTGCTCTGCACCGCACAGTACGATGCAAGGCCGCACAGTGAACCGCCCTGGTCAGCGAGTGGGCGTTTGAGGGCAGGGCGGCCGCCTGTTTTGCCAGGTCATCCGCACTCTCATTCCCCTCGATACCGCAGTGGGCAGGAACCCGCTGCGGTATTGCTTAACGACGCTTGGTGTCTTGGTGATGTTCAACAAGGCCTTCTTTACCTATCTCCACGCCGAGGGTTACTTGAGGCCTCACCTGGGCGGCCGCTTCTCCGCTGAGTTCGAGCGGCTCACCAGTTCGAGCACGCGACGACCGGGGCGGGGACGTCTCGTCCCGAAACTCTCCAGAGCCGCCCGCGGGGCGAACTAGATTGACCAGCGTACCGCATAAATTCGGTGATCGTATGTCGCCAAAAAATTATGTGAACGCCCCGCGCCGAAAAATTCGTCCGCCGCCATGCGCTGAATTCGGCGCATGCGAAGTTACGCCGGACGTGCGCTGAAATTTTCGGCGCAATCCCGCCACTACGCCGGACGCGGACATATTCGGCATAACGTGTATTTTTTCCAGTCTGGCCTACAGGGTGTCCCAGAATTGACCAAACATTTATTTCCTGGCTAAAAGTATGATTGCGCTCGATTCTAATTAGATACAAGCATTATACTTTTATAAGACATACCTTAGCTATCGAGCTTTGAGACTGTGTGTTTTTGGTGACCGGTCATGACTCGAGTCAATTATTATCCAGAGTCAGCAAAGAGTAGTCCCTTTTCGATTTCAGCCTCAGCAAACAAAAGGCAATCATGGTGAATAAAATGCAATTCTGAAGTTTGTAAACAGACTTTTGGCATGGTTCTTGCTGGAGAGCTCCAGTAGCTCATTTGCAAGCAAGCAGGGGTGAGCAAACCGCAGTTATATCAGCGAGCGAAGCCAGAGAGAGCAAGAGATAACCTGATTGACAAGCCTGGGTGAGATCAAAAATGCATGCACCAGTCGTCAAGCGGGTTGTTGCCATATCATGAACAACAAACGCCACCCATCTACCCAAAAACAAGTAAACGACAGATCAGGGTTAGCTAGTAGCTACGAAATATCAGTCTACTTTTGACCACTATCTTCGACAAAATTTTGGAAGTCGGGGCCCCTCATCTGAAAAATATGCCAAAACTAACGGAAAGACAGCGCAAATCGCTACAAAGCAGCCATAAATCATAACATATGCAACAAAAAAGTGAATGGAAACACACTTTGTGGTCTTACAAAGGTAGTCTGCCCTTTGAAGCGACACAAAAAAGTAGTGTGTGGACGCCAGATGTTGACAACGCCCCAACAGCCGAGACGGCCAGGCACTCGTCGAAAATCAAAGTGTGAGACATTTTGAGCCACGGTGCGCTCCTTCAGCTTCACGTGATGCCCCAAAGACGACCATTAACACAGATTGCTACTGTGGTAATATTCAAGCATTACAAAAACTGGTTGTCGTGGACTGAATGGCCATAAACGGGTTTGTTCTGGAAACCAAATCTGTTGGAAGCCAAAGGTCACGCCATGTTCAGGCATGGAGGTTCTCCACTTCAGATGTCAAAAAACAGCGCAACAGTGGTGTAGGCAGAATTTTTGGTTTTGGGAGAGAATGCCTTATTGCCTGGGAACAGTTTGGATGCAAAGTTAATCGAAAATATGTATAGTATCCACCGGCAAGAGGTCAATGAAAACCGTCTTACAACCAGTTTCGGGAGACCCGTAAAACAACTGAAGCCAGCATCGTCAAGCATTTAGCTACAATTGTCGGCTAATGTTGTAGCTAGCGTGTCTATTGCATGTGCCATTTCGAAGCTACCTTTATTGGCTATTGTAACGAATCCATGACAGATGTAAAATGACGATAATAACTCAAGTTTATTGTACAAGACAAAGCTTTCGATACATAAAGTATCTTGATCACTGTCAATGAGATGTAGAATATTTGAAAATTCACAAATAACAAAAACCGACGCAAGTCGTTGCATTTCTTTCTTCCTAACATGTGACATTCACCCTATGACACTTTCACTGCTAATTTTGCTGCTATGCTAGACCATGTAATAAACCCGTTTCTTGTGTTGAACGTATTTCTTGACATGATATGAGCCGCTTCGAGACATTTTCGTTTTCGTTTCTTCATATTTCGTTCCAATATTTTGGTATCGTCCCACTTCGGCAGGTGCTGGCATTCTTCTATGTGTAGTACGATCGCATTGGAAGTCCGGTGAAATTTGACATCGCTCTTATGTTCCTGTAATCGCGTTTTTAATCCCCTTCCTGTCTCGCCTACGTAAGTCTTATAACACCCCGAACAAGGCACTTCGTAAACAATGCTCTTCTCGGAGCCTTCGTTTTTCTCTTTTCTTTCTAATATGTTCTTGATTTTCTGTCCTGAGTTCGTAGCAATCCGCACACCTATGCTCTCTAGTTGTTTTGAGATGGCATTCGCTTCTCTTGAATAGGGAATCGTTATCCATCTATCAGGCTTGTCTGTACGCTTCTTCGTTTGTCCTCTCTTCTTTTTCTTGACGATTTCTTCTGCTTTTTTCCTCTGCTGTATCAGAAAACCCTTTGGGTACTTCAATCTTTCAAAGGTCTCGTATATGTGCTGAAGTTCTTCTTGTAAGTAGTCATCATCACAAATCCTAAACGCTCTAAGGAAAAAGCCAATAACTATACCACTTTTCACCCTGTCTGCATGAGCCGAATAAAAATGCACGTAATCTTCCTTATTGGTAGGCTTTCTGAAAACTTTAAATTTGAAGTTGCTGTCTGTCCTCAAGATGGAAGTGTCTAAAAATGGCAGCTGGGCGTTCTGTTCCTTCTCCAATGTAAACTGTATCTTTGGGTTGACAGCATTCAAGAGGTTCAGTTTTTCGTCCAAGTCCATGTCTTGCGGTACCACTACCAAAACATCATCCACGTACCGCATCCATTCTGAATCAGGGCCGATTATATCTAGAAGTCGTGACCGTTCTAAATCTTCCATATAGAGACACGCGCCAATGGAGCTCAGCGGTGACCCCATGGCTAACCCACTGTGTTGAACGTATTCTGATTTGTTAAACTTGAAACATCCAAACCGCATGCATAATGTCACCATCTGCATGTACTGGTCTCTTGGTAATGGCAGGATGTTGTCATCTGTGGCATCTACTACTTTTTTGATGGCGTCTAAGGCCCCATCTACAGGGACGTTTGTGAAGAG